GCTCTGTTGCCCAGGCTAGAGTGCAGTGGCATCATAGCTTGTTGTGGCCTTGAACTCCTGGGCTCAAGCGATCCTCCTGCCTCAGCCTCCAGAGTAGCTGGGACTACAGGTGCATGCCGCCATGCCTGGCTGATTTTTCTATTTTTTGTAGAGACGGGGTCTCACTCTGTTACCCAGGTAGGTCTCTCTTCTACCCCCTCTTGTGTTCAGGACTTGTGGGGCGGACATGCAGGGCTGCTGCCTTTGTTGTGGTGGAATCTCTAGAAGAGTCTCTGGTGTAGGCTGCTCCACCATAGCCTCTGCTGATGCTGCGGCACCCTGGGGAGACGTGGGCTGGTCCAGGGTGTCTTCAAGAGCAAGCAATGCCGGGCCAGGCCACAGTGTCCATGGGGGAGGTGCCGCTCCCAGGAGACCAGGTGTGCCCTTGTCCCACCCTTCCCCTGTCCCGGCCTCATGCCCCACACACAGCTCTGCCTCGGGGGCTGAGCGCTGAGCCTTGCACCTGTCAGTCTCGCCTTCAGGGCCGCACCTCACCTGCTGCCCGTCTCCAGACTTGATGTCCGTCCGGTCTCCCTGGCTGGGTGATGATCTGTTGAGCCATCCCCCTCAGGATGCCAGAACGGTGCTAGTTTATGCCCCATGGGCCTTAGCGATCAGAATCATTACTGTGGCCCCAGCTTCACTTGACAATGAGTCTGTCCCTGTTGCTGCCAGCCATGGACATGCCCCTCCTGGTGTGACTGTTTCTAGACTCCTCTTTGGAGCCTGCTTGGAGCACTGTCCTCGGGAACTGGTGAATGGAAAGCCACACTTCAGCCCATCTCGGCTGCGGCTCCCGCGGGGGCTCAGAGTGTGGGTGGCCGAGTGGTGGCAGGGAGTCGGGAGGGCCCCTTGTCTTTTCTCCCTTCTCCCCCTCCTCCTCTCATGCTCTCCCGTTCTCTGTTCAGGATGAGCCCTGGGGTCCTTCCTCCTCTTACAGAGTCTTCCAGAGCTAACTGAACACCTTTCAGATAACGCCGCGTCCGCGGCTTTCGTCCCTTTCGTTCAACAAATTCTTACCAGAGGCCCACTGTGCCCTCAGCCCTGGCTCGGCCCCGGGGTTTCGGGGGGTGGGGGGTAAATGAGACAGATGCGGCCCCTACTCTCATGAAGGTCGGCGAGGACAGAAAGGACTAGACAAAGACACGAGATGGTTTTGGCGATAAATGCCATGAAGGGGAGAAGCTGACGCAGGAGCAAGTGTCAGGGGGTGTCAGGGCCTCCCAGAGCGGCGACGCCCGATTGGAGACCCCGCTGACCCGACTGCATCGGAGCAGCAGGCAGGTTCTCTGTCACGAGGACTAAATGACAGGATTGCCCTGCGGTTGATGCGAGCAGGGAGGGATGCACTGGAGAGTACTGGGTGGTTCAGGGAACGGGCAGGAGCCGGAAACCGGGCTGGCGCGCAGGCGCTTGCTGAGCGAGGCTGGGCCAGAGCTCCGCCAAGGTCCCCCGCAGCAGGGCCTGTGAGGACCCAGCCGCCACCGCTCTGCATACTGGACACCACTCGGGCCTTGAACCCCGGACCTTCTGGCACACCCCCAACAAGGGACTCTCAAACAGGGCCCGGTCACCCGCCCCAGACCTGTAGGTTTGTTCCCTGCTGGGTGGGCTTCTAGACCCAAAGACGGCTCCCCACCTCACGCAGGTGAGAGCCACTGTCTTACAAAGTCCCATGTGACCTGGTCCCCTGTGCCCCTGCCTCTTGCCCCACCCTGCTCTGGCCACATCAGCCTCCTGGCTGTTCTCAGTCATGCCAAGCCTGCCCCCTGCCTCCAGGGCCTCGTCCCCAGTGTCCCTGTAACTCCCCCTACACCTGCTCCAGGTCTCGGCCCAGCAGCCACCATCCCTTGAGGCCCTCCTGGTTCCTCTATGCCCATATTTCTTGTCACCTTCTGACATCATTTCTGTGTTTACTGTTTACTGAGGACCCATCTCAGGTGCCTAGTCCGGTGCCTGGTGTTGGCGTGAACACCCCACAGCTGTGACAACATGCCGTCCTGGTCCTGGTGTGAGAAGTCTTGGGAGGCCTGAGTTTGAATCCTGGTTCTGCCATTGACCAACTGTGTGATTCTGCACCAGTATTTTAACATTTCCGAGGTCAGACAGGATCGGGCGCATTCAGGGCGGCATGGCCGTAGATATTTTAACCTTTCTGAGCCTCAGTTTCCCCATCTGTAACTTGGGCGCCTACATCCATGGTCAAGAGTGAGATTGCGTGCTGAGTCTCAGTTGCCTTTCCCTGTCTTTCCCCCTCCCCTCCACATCTATTAAAACAGTCTCCCAAAGCCATTATGATCGCAATGTGATGTCTCCATTTACTTTGGATTATATGTCATTATAAATATTAACAAATAAAAATTAAAAAGGACACCTTCGGGTACGTCAGACGAAAAGTACAAAAAGTGTGTTGTGGGGCTGCGGTTTGAGGAGTTTCTGCAGCCGTCACATGGTAGCAAAACGGTGTTAAGCAGTGCACGAGTCTGCGTCGACGACAGCCAGAGTCCATGCATCGGGAGGTTCCCTCGGTCGGGAAGGGACAGGGGACAGGGCATGCACGGCCCCGCGGGCCGGGGTGCAGTTCCTCGCTCTCGCCACTGGAGGTCAGACGGCTACCGCTTCAGGGCTGGAAGACGGGCCCGTCGGGGACTGGCGAGCGGTGGCTGCGGGTGGGGCGGCGGCCAGGGCGGGAGGTGGACGCGGGCACGGGGCGACCCCCTGGTTACTGACACCTGACTTTGGAATGACTTTTATTTTTTGGTATCAGATTTTGTCTTTGTGGAGCTGATGGACCAAAGATGCCCGTTTGGGGTCAATGGCAGAGCCAATTCTGCAGCTTCTCAAAGTGCTTTTTCTTGAACAGAGACACACAGCGTCTAGAACAGTGCTAGGATCCTGGTGATGGTTCTGAGACTCCCTGAGGGGCCTCCTGCCACTCACCCAGCCCTGCCTCCCAGCCTGACTGTCCCTGTGGTCAGCTTGGACCATCTTCCTGCACAGCCTGGGGCAGCAGGGGGCCTGGGCTAGTGCTCCAAGTCCTGGGTGGTTGTCCCAGCTGGGCCCTGAGCCCCTTCCACCACCGGGCCTCAGTTTCCCCATGTGTCTGATAAGGAACGCATGCTAGGTGGGACCCACAGATGCTTCCAGCACCGCCATTCGGTACTTCCATGTCTTCAAAGAGGCTGTTGGGTCTCCTCTCTAAATGGGGCCTCCCAAAAGCAAAGCTAAGATACTCAGAGCTCACCTAGACACCAGGCCCTTTAAAAATAGGCCACCTCTCACCTTAGGCCTCCAGAGGCGGCCCGTTCTAGCTGTGTGGAGAAAAGAGGACCCTTGCCTCAGCCCCAGAGGGTTCTGGGGCCGGGGCGGGCACTTCTGGGGAAGCCCTAAATGGCACAGATGGTTTCAAAGCCAGCTAGAGGAGAGGTGGTAGGATGGCGACAAGGACCCATGTCCCTACTGTGCAGCAGAGCTTACCGAGCCTCCACCTGGCTTCTCTGCTGAGCTTCCAAGAGCCCAGGAGGGAAGCCACTGGGGAGCACTGAGCCCGGACAGCTGGAGGACCTGGGTTTGGGTCCTGGCTCACGCCTCCCAGCTGTGTGGTCTTGGCAAACTACTCGGACGCTGAACCTCAGCCCCTGCTGTAACAACGGGAGGACAACTGGACCCACCTCATGGGGTTGTGAGACGCATTAAGACAGCGCATGCAAAACCTCGACTCAGCACAGAGCCTTTCTAATGGCGGGGAGACCGAGGTTCCGAGAGTGGCAAAGGTGGCAGGTACCGTGTGGGGCTGGAGTCCTGCTTCCCCTGCAAGCTGGGAAAGGGCTGATGGGCACTTGGTGGGATTCAGATCATCACCTCGGCCTCAGACGGTGATGTGCTTCGTGTCTGCAGCAGCAGGTCTAACCCTTGCACCTGCGAGCCATGCTGCTGGCGTGGGCGGGGTGGGCGGCAGGCGGGGTGAGCCCAGCACCCACCTTCCCCTGAAGTGTGTCCAGTGCACTGGGGTGGGTGCTGGGGGTCCTGGTTCCAGCTGTGCGAGGGCTGGGAGGCTCGGGCAGGCCGCCTGCCCTCTCTGGGCCTGTTTCCATCGCGCAGTGCTGGGTTTAACGCGCCAGGGCTCTGTTGACTTTGAAACTCCTTGGTTCTGCATTCGTTCCCGAAGGCCCCTTGGTAGGCAGGGAATGTTTGGGGGCTTCAGGCCTGGGCCCCAAGATTCAGAGACTCTCAGCCCCTTTCTGGAGGACTGATTTGGGGGAGCGGACAGGCCCCCAAGGCAGGTGTCTCTCTCTCAGCTCTTGGAGGGCAGAGCCAGCCCCACAGCTCTGCAGAGACAAGGCTCTGAACTGCCACTCAGTACTTCTAACAGGGACATCCGTGGCCACAGTAGGGCCAGGATGCCACGAGCCACCACCTGGAAGCCCGCAATACTCAGCCTGAACCCAGGAGGGGAGGGGAAGGGGAGAGCGAGGACGAGGAGGAATGTTTGCTTCTTCCCATGGGCGAGGAACGCTTTCCTCTCCTCCACCTCGCTGGCCAAGGGTGGGTTCCACCCTCCGGGTCTCTCAGGAGAAGAGAGATCAAAGTGGGAGAGCTGGGTGTGAGGACTGAACTTGACCCTGACCCGGTATCGGTGTCTCCAGGTGCCGGCTCCTGTCTGACAGATGTGGCCCCCAGGGAGAGGCCCTGGGTCCTGGCTCCCCTCCAGGCCTTTGTAGACCACTGGGCTGCCTGGAATGTCCTTCCCCTTGTCCACCTAGAAACTCCCACTCACCCTTCAAGGCCTTGAGGAAGCACCACCTCCTCCAGGAAGCCTTCCCTATGCTCCCAGCAGGCAGCAGCATCCAGCAGCACTTGCACCGGGCCAGGCTGGTCTTGGCATTTCTCGCCCCTCCCCACCCCCATGTCACAGTTGGTTTCCGCTGCTCCCGGCTCCTGTGCCGCTGAGAGAAGCACTTGTCCATTTGTCCACGTTCAGCGGCAGGCTCTCGGGCAGGCCACTTCCTCCCACCTGCGCAGCAGTGCTGGCGAGGAAGGATGCGGCCAGCCTCCATTTGGCTACATCTGGGGGTAACCGTTCTTCGGGGTCCGGTCTTCCGCCTGCCCACCTCTCCCCTCTGTTCCTGTTGGCCCCAGGCGCCCCTGCACTCCTGTTCTCGCCTGGGCCTCACTGCTGACCTCTAGGAGGGTCCTTGCCCTGGACGGCCCCATTCCCTCCCGCCAGGTGGGTGCCGAGGCCGAGGTCTGGTCCTCCCAGTGCCGGCCTCTCGGGCCCCAGAGGGCTGAGAGCAGGCCCCGCTCCCTGCCCTCCCTGGGCCTTGAGTGGCTGGGCCCTCCCTGTCCCTCCAGGTGGGGGCCGCAGAGGCTCTGTGTCCAAGCAGGTGTCCTGGATCTCCCCCAACCAGGGGGCTGGAGCCCTTGGTGGCAGCTGAGGAAGCTCAGGGCCGGCCCATGCTGGGCCCAGGTGAAAGCAGGGGCAGTGTGGCGGTGGCGGGCGGGGCGTCAGTCACTGAGCACGGCCCCCGGGAGCTCGCTGGTGAGCGTGTGCCAGCGCTCGATGCGCTTGTCCTTGTTCTTCAGGCAGTCGAACCAGTGCTTCAGGCGCTCGCCCTTGGCGTTGATGCCCAGAACCACGCCGCCTGCGGGGGACCGGAGGGCCAGGGGCTCGGGGACCTGCCGGCTCCCAGCACCAGCGGGTGCTCCCTCCCGATTCCATGCTCCAAGCCTGATCTCCCCCTGCCCGCTGGCTGAGCGGGGGCAGCGTCTGACCTCTATGCCACGCCCTGGCCTCTCCTCGAGGCCCTGGGATCCTGCCCCTCCTCTACCCTGAGCGAGGCAGCGCTGGGGGCCAAGGAGTGGGGCCGGCACAGGGCAGAGGGCCAGGGCGGGGCACTGCGCGCAGCTGCCAGGCCTGCCAGTGCTCGGAGTCCAGCTGCTCCACCGCCCACTGCTGTGTGGCCCCCCCAGGCCTCTTTCCCTCTCTGGGCCTGCCTCCTCTCACAGGGGTTGGGCTGGATAAGGCCTGAGGCCCCTCACATCTGGGGGCAGGTGGGTCCAGGGAGAGGCCAGGGAGGAGGGGCTGTGGCCTGACTCAGGGCCGCTGCCCTCTGCCAAGCCCAGGCCAGGCACGAGGCCGGACAGCCTTCCCACGGTGCCCTCTTACCAATGAAATCGTTGGATTTTCCAATGTCGTAATCCCAGACGGTGACCTCCAGGGTCTTCTTGGCCAGGTCCCCGTGCTTAATCTCATAACAGAACTCCTGCTGGCCGGAAGGTGAGTGTCAGGGTCAGTGCCACACGGCCTGGGACTCGCCAGGGGCCAGGAGGGGCGTGAGGTGTGGTGAGGGCGTGAATGAGGGAGGGCGGGAGGGGCGGTGGGTGGTCGATGGGTGGATTCCCACGCATCTCGGTCGCTTCTACTTGGCCACCTGGCCAGGGTCCTTGGGGACGCTGTCCCCTCAACCCACTGTTCCTTTGTCACCGAAGCTGTTCTCTCAGGGTCCCCGAGAGTCCCCTGACTGCCAAATTCAGTACACACTTAGCAGTCTTTGTTGCCCTCGACCTCTCTTTGGTCTGGCTTTGCTGATTAGTCACTTCTTTGTGGAACCCACTCCACCACCAGCTTCAGGACCCTCCAGCGCCTGGTGTCCCCGTCACACCCTGGAAGCATCTCCCCAGCCTCCTCTGCCTGGCCCCGAATGGCTGGTGTGGCTGCGGCTCTGCTCTCAGCCCCTCCACTCTTCTCATCCTCTGGTTCCTGGGGGGACCCTCGGGTCTGCACTTCCGGCTGCACCCCGCCCCCCTCCCGGGCTGGGGATCCGGGGAAACATTAGCCTGGGAATCTTGAGCCCTCGGGCCCTGCACAGAGCTTCTCCTCATCTTCCTCACAGCCCCTCCTCACCCCGTTAGCCCAGCAGGAGGCAGGACTCCCACGCTGCCGTCTCTGCACCCCTGCATCCAGCACCCACAGTCCAGCAGCTGGGTCCGCCAGCACCCACCGCAAACCTCCCGCCCTCGTACCTCGTTGAACTCCGGGTTCAGGGTTTTCTTCTTTACCGCGGTCTTGTGCTTGGATTTCTTGTCCACATCTGGCTTCAGGTACCTGGAATGGTATCCGAGGGACAGGCAGAGGGTGAAGAAAAGCTATGGGTACAGGTCGAGCCAGCAGGCTTGGCAGAGCTTTTTGTCTCTGGAGAGCGATTCCCGGGCCCCTCCCACACCCCACCGATGGATCTGGATCGTGGGGTTCTCCAGCACCAGCACCACCGGGGAGGGTGAGGGGCGGGCTGCGGTGGGAGGAGCGAGTGGCTCCTTTGTTCACTTCTGTTCAGTTGCTCGTTCCTGAAGTTTGTGGGGCTCCCTCTGCCCCCCGAGGAAAGAAGATTTTTCTTATTTCTGGAAATCTAATTTTCGAAAAGCTTACATTTCCCACCGCAAAAATGTTTTTAGCAGAGTTGATCCTTTGTTCAAGCCTTCTTTTTTTAAATAGCAGATTTACTGAGATATAATTCATATATCATAAAATCTCTCTTTCTAAAGTACAAAATTCAGTGGTTTTTAGTATATTCCCAGAGCTGTGCAACCGTCACCACTGCCCAGCTGGAGCTCTGAGGACGGAAAAGGCCGTCTGCGCAGCAGCAGGGAGGCAGCTAGATGTTCTTCCCACCACAGCACCAACTCCTTAGACCCTGATGCAGAACAGCTGTCTTCTTCCAAGGCTCAGAGAGGTGAAGTGACTTGCCCATGGTCGCACAGCGGGCAGGCACGGGGTGGTGCCTGGGAGCCAGGCCCAGGCTCCTTTCTCTCCGACAAGGAGGTCACATGCAGGCTGGAGAAGGGGACAGGAGGTTCCCAAACTCTCCTTTGCAGAACTGCCCACCCTGTCTGTCCCTGCATGCTAATCGTGTGACAATTGCCTCACTCCTGCCTGGGCGTACCCTGGGGTGAGGACCACGTCGACGTCACTTACCACCAGCTCAGTGAACTCTGGGGAATGATGCCTGATTCCTAGAAGTGAAACTCCCCGCCCGAAGGCACGCCTGTCGCCAGCTTCTTATTTCATGTTGCCAACTGCTTTCCGGAAAGGCTGCACAGCTGACACACAGTGCCCTTGACAAAGCTGAATATTATCATTTTAAAAAGCCTCGCTGGTTTGAAAGGCAGACAGTGGTGTCTCATTGTTGCTTTACTCTGCATCTTTAAAAATTGTGACTTTTATAACATAAATAATACTAGGTCATTATAGAAACACCAGAAAATACGTATGGACCAAAGTTGGGGATAGGAGAGAAAAACAAAGGCTTATGTCCTCATGAAAATCCGTTCATAACAGCTTTATACAATCACCAAAAATTGGAAACAATCACATGCCCTTCCGCTGATAAACTGACCAACAACGACGCTGTGGTTCACCCATCTGATAGAAGACTATTCAGCAATGAAAAAGACTAAACTACTGGTACATGCAACCACACGGGTGAGTCTCAAAGGCATTACGCTGTGCAAAAGGCGTCGGACTCACAAGGCAACCTACTGTCCGACTGCCTTTGTATGGAAGTCTGCAAAGGGCGACGCTGCTGGGATGGAAAACAGGTCAGTAGCTCCCTGGGGCTGGGGCGATAGAGATATTCTGTACCTTCACTGTGGTGGCCGTTAACAGGATATACCTTGGTCAAACTTCGAACAGGGAGAAACTTACTGTATGCAAATGACGCAGGTCGAGTATCCTTCATTTGAAATGCTTGGGACCAGAAGCATTCTGGATTTCGGGTTTTTTTGGATCTTGGAATATGTGTGTTGTACTTACTGGTTGAGCACCCAAATCTGAAATGCTCCAATGAGCACGTCCTTTGAGCATTATGTTGGCGCCTAAAAAGTTTCAGATTTTGGATTTTCAGATTCGGGATATTCCATCTGTACCTCATTAAACCTAACTATAATAAAAAAATCGGGGAGTCCCTTAAACCTACCACCCACACAGGGTGACTATCTTCAGTTATGAGTTTTCATGTGCTTGCTGGCCATTTTATTGGTGTTTTGTTTTCTGCGAACTGTCTTCTGCCTGTTTTGCGTCAAGGTGACGCGTTGTTAGTCAGGAGTGTCCCACCTCTGCCTGTGGAAGCCCCTAGAGGGAAGGTTGTTCTGAGATCTCTGTCCCCTCAGCCTGGACAACCTGTGTCCATCTAGCGACTCCTCCCTTGGGCACCAGGCTCCCATGACAGGCATCCTCTGAATTGTCCCAGCCTCTGTCCATGCTGTTTTCTCTGTCTGTCTTTGAAAGGCCGCGCTGACCTGGCCTGTAGCTTGGGGGTGGGACACGGCTGCAGGGGTCCAGCTGCGCCCACATCAGCCACCTGTGGTGGGAGGAGCCCCAGGCGCGGTGCACAGGCCCTGCCGGGGCTGCCCTCTGCTGGCCGGAGGAAGTCGGCTGGACTGTCTGTTGCACCAGGGAAGGCGCTGCTTTCTGGGCAACCCTACATGGGACCCTGGAATTCCTGTCAACCTGGCAGGTGGGCGTTGAACTTGATTTATTTTATTTTACTTTTTTTTTTGAGACAGAGTCTCACTCTGTTGCCCTGGCTAGAGTGCCGTGGCGTCAGCCTAGCTTACAGCAACCTCAAACTCCTGGGCTCAGGCGATCCTCCTGCCTCGGCCTCCCAAGTAGCTGGGACTACAGGCATGCGCCACCATGCCCGGCTAATTTTTTTTCTATGTATTTTTAGTTGTCCAGCTGATTTCTTTCTATTTTTTTAGTAGAGACGGGGTCTCGCTCTTGCTCAGGCTGGTCTCGAACTCCTGAGCTCAAACAATCCGCCTGCCTTGGCCTCCCAGAGTGCTAGGATTACAGGTGTGAGCCACCGCGCCTGGCCTGAACTTGATTTAAAACCTTCACACCATTTTGCCTTCAGATCGTGCCTTTCTCTGAGAGCGATGGAGCAGCACAGGCAGAGGTGAAGGCACCCCTGCTTGCCACCCTCCCTCCCCTGAGGCCACTTTCGAGAACACCAGCATGGTTTAAGAAATATTCATAAACGGTGTCCCCCTGTGGGTGCAGTTCTGCGGTTTGCTTTTTGGCTCACACGTTTGGCTGGGCTGTCCTTGTTAATTCACCTAGCTCTAATTTATTCGTTTTAACTGCATAGTGCTGCACGATACGTATATGCCACATTTTATTAATCTCCTCCTCTGCTGACGGACGTTTGCCTATTTCCAGGATATTGCTGTTATAAGCGATGCTGCAAAAAATAGCTTCCCACTGTGCACAGGGTTCTAGGGTCCAAACCTGGAAGGAAAATAACGTGGCCATGGGGCGCACGCATTTTCCGCCTTGATTAGGTATTGTCGACTTTCTCTCCGATGGTTATTAGGAGGCTCTTGAGTGTTTTCTAAACATTTACAGTTTCCCCTCACACTCAGGGCTCTAACCCACTGCAATACTTTGTTCTGCTAATTGTCGAGGCCGGGGCCCAATTCATTGTCTTCCACAGGGAAAACCAACAGTTCCTGCACCATTTTTGGGAGTCTGACTTCCTGCAAAGATGCAGATTCCTGCTCCGCCCAGGCTCTGTTCCTGCAGCCTGGTGTGATCAGATTAAAAAAAAAAATGACAGCTTTATTGAGCTGTAATTCACATACTGTACAACGCGCCCCTTTAAAGCCTACAATTCAGTGGGGTTTCAGTATATTCACAGAGTTGGGCAACCATCACCACAATCGATTTTAGGACATTTTCGTCACCCTAGAAAGAAAGCCAGGACCCTTCAGCAGTCACTCCCCCGTGCTCCCAACCCCTCCCAGCCCTGGCAACACTGCTCCACCTTCCGCCTTACATGGCCCGTTTTGTCTGCAGTGTAAGCCATGATCGCCGCGCGGCCTGGTGATTTCAGGGCTCGTGCACGTTGTAGAAGGTCTCAGTGCCTCGTTCCTTTTTATGGCTGAACACTAGTCCACGGGGCGGCTAGACCACTTTATGTGTGTCCCATTCGTCAGCGGAGGGACACTTGGGTCGTTTCCACTTTTGGTTATTGTGACTAATGTTGCTGTGAACATTCCTGTATGAGTTCCAGTGTGGACTCGTGCTTTTTATTATTACTCTTGGGTATATACCCAGGAGTGGAATTGCCGGGTTAAATGGTAACTCTGCGTTTAACTTTTTGAGGAACTGCCAACTGCTTTCCAGACTGGCCGCACCATTTTTTTATACATATTTAGAGTGTTGCTCTGCTGTCCAGGCTGGAGTGCAGTGGTGATCATAGCTCACAGCAGCCTCAAACTCCTGGGCTCAAGAGATCTTCCTGCCTCAGCCTCCTGAGTAGCTGGGACTACAGGTGCGAGACACGACACCTGGCTAATTTTTAAAAATTTTTTTTGTAGAGATGGGGTCTCACTCACTATGTTGCTCAGGCTGGTCTCAAACTCCTAGACTCAAGTGATCCTCCTGTCTCGGCCTCCCAAAGTGCCAGGATTATAGGCGTGAGCCACCGTACCTGGCTCTTTTTTCTTTTTTAGAGCCAGGGTCTTGTTATGTCTGCCAGGCTGGGTCACAATTCCCGGCCTTAAGCGATCCTCCCACCTCTGTCTCTGAGTAGCTGGGACTACAAGTGTGAGCCACCATGCCTGGCTCGTGGCTGAGCCATTTTTTGTGATATGATTTTTAAAATGACAGAAATATGACTGTGGCCAGTGGGAATGGTGCCTCAGAGCTGTGCCACAGGAGCCCTGGCCTCCCTGTGCTGCCAAGACGTCCCCAGTGTCCGCATGGCCTCTGTCACCTGGGTCCTCAGGTCCCCTCAAGCCAGGCCCCTTCCTGTTTCTGTATCTTAACTCCTCTATCCCCCTGCTCGATCACCTCTACCTCCTTTCTGCTGAGCCAGTCCCTTCCAAGCCTGACTCTTCCAGGACTGTCCCTGTGAACTCAGACTCATGTCCACCTGTGTGTGAGGAGCCCCAGGCCCTGAAGGTGGTCACCATGGCACTTGTGCCATCTCTCTCCAAAGGGCCACCAGCTCCCACCTGCCCTGTGGAGCTCAGAGCTCAGCCTGGCCTGACCAGGTTCACAGGTTCATAGCTCTGGGGCCCAGGTCACTTGGCACAACCCCCCAAGTTAGTGTCAAGGGGGCTGGGGGGACCCTTATCTGCATCGTGGCCCCAGCACAGAGCCGGGCACATGTGGGCAGTGGCTAGGTTCTGGTGGGGTTTCCTTTGCTGGGTCTCTCAGCCTCCTGGCTACCCCAGCAAGGGCCTTACCTCCTCCCACCTGCTGCTGGGGGTTCTGGGGTCTCAGAGAGGCCTGGACATGGCATCAGAAGGTAATTACTCTCTATCTGTGTGACCCTGGGAAGCCACTCAGCTTCTCTGAGCCTCAGTTCCCTTATCTGTGAAATGGGCTGGCCATACCCACCCCCCGGAGTTACACCAAAGGAGCCCATAAGAGAACAGCCCCTGTGGACACGGCGCCCACTGCCCTCAGTGCTCCCTGGGTGCTGCCAGCCTGGACCATGGATCCGGCCACGCAGACCTCCGTCCCAGGAGGCACACTCACGTTTTCACGTAGGGGTCCGAGTAGCCATTGGCGTCCATGGCGGCCAGGTGTGCGCAGCGCACGATGCCCACCAGCAGGCCCTGCTTCTGCGAGCTGTACTTGAGAGAGATGAGGATGCGGCCTCGCTCCTCCAGCGACTTGTCCTCCGTCTTGTCCACCTGTTGGCAGAGCAGTCACTCGGTGGTCCTGGCCTCCTCCCACGTCCTGAGCCTGGCCACCTGCCGCTGCCCCCGTCAGGCCTTGTAGGGCTGGGGTCACCACCGTGTCCTCACAGGCTTTCTGCCCGTCCCTCCCCTCC